GACTTTTGCTGACATCAGGACTGAAATGATGAGGTTTTATGGATTTGTTTATAGATAAGAGATGGGATATGGGAAGAGATCACTGGCTGTATTTTAAGATAAGGTGATAACCCTAAAATTGTTTATATTTGTTGTAATGATGGGGGAAGTCACTTCTTTATATATTTCTTTTTTTTTCTTTACTGTATTATTTTTTTCTTTTCTATTTTTCTATTTTTTTTCTTTGCTGCACCTTCTATTTTTTCTTTTTATTCTTTTATTTGTTTTTGTTTGTATTAGTTTTTATTGTTGTAAATTGTAATCTTTAATAAAATTACTATAAAGAAGGAAAAATATGTCCCTGGAGTGGTTTGGACCAGCTACCTGGTGCCTCTACTTACCTTGGAGTGGTACGTAAGGGCATTTTTGGCCACAGAGCACTGCTTCTCCACCAGGAAACAGAATCGCCTCCTCTCTTCTGTGAGTGCTGTTTTGTAACCATCAGATACATAGTTCTCCAGCTCACTTTGTTTATTGGTCACTGCTTCAATAAACTGGAAGGAAAGAGAGAACATAAAATATGATAGGCTAATAGAAACTACCACATTAATCACAATATGAACTCAGAAGACTAAGGGTATCCTGAATACATCAGATTCCTTTGCAAATCTAACATTTATCCCAGTCACTTCAGACATAAGAACCGGAGAGTAGGCGGTTGCCTCTTCATCATTACTGTACAGAATTTCTGAGATTCCTTATCCCATGTTCAGCTGTAGCCTGGACAGCAGGGGGCACTAGGCAACAGAGCACGAGCCTACTGAGAGAATATCTATCCTTCCCCCTCAGCCTTAGTCATCTGACTTCCCTCACACAAAAGCTCCTGACTCAGTACGTGGGCTTCAGATGTTGTGTGGGTGGAAGAAGAGCAGAGAGATTCTTAGTCTCCCTCCTACTTCATCTGCACCTGGATAGTGCTAATTCTCTACTGCCTGTTGCTACAAATTGACTTCGGTGGCTTGCATAAGTTTAAAAGGGCTTTAGAAGGGCTTTTACACTTGCTCCTTTAACCTCTCCTTACTGGGCTGCTAAGAATGAGCTTCACATACTCCTTCTCAAAACCAGAGAGGACAGAGGTCCTCCTCAAATGTCTGTAGGTGATGCACAGAGGCTTCACGTTGTACATCTGAACTCACAACTCCCCTCCTGTGAGAAGATACAACAAAGAAAAGGAAGACACCCTCCCCAACTGTTCCCCTTACAATCTTTAGCCAAGCAGCAGCTCCTCATACCAGGTCTCCAAACTTTGATATAAAGTCATCCACTTAATTCTCCAACCAATGGCCAGAGAAATCCACAATGACATCTCCACTGCACGAGACTTCCTTTCTCACATTCAGAGGTTTCCGGGCACTTAGTGCTTCCATCTGATGCTCAGTTTCAATAGCATAAAAGTCTGATATATCCTAAAGCATTTCAGATTTAAACCTTCGTGACTTTTAAAGGTAATTACCAAAACACTGAACTGCAAAGGAATTAATAGAGCCCCTTCTTTATTGCATACACAAGCCCCTAGAGCAAGCACTTGTGCCTGCTTTCTGGACACTCTCCCTCCCCCCCCGAACCCCCGAAAAAACGACTCTGCGAGGGCGGGCTGCTGAT